TATTCAGCATCAAATTGACCTTGTTCCTGGGCCAAGTTTGCCAAATCGACCAGCATATTGCCTCAGTCCCAAAAAGGCTGAAGATTTGCAGCGACATGTGGAAGAGTTGTTGGAGAGGGGGCTATATCCGAGAGAGTATGAGCCCATGTGCAGTCCCTGCTCTGCTACTGCCAAAGAAAGATGGTTCTTGGCGTATGTGTGTTGACAGCCGAGCGATCAACATAATTACAGTTAAGTACCGGTTTCCAATTCCCCGTCTAGATGATATGTTGGATCAACTATCTAGTTCTAAGGTCTTCTCAAAAAATTAACCTTAAGAGTGGTTACCACCAAATCAGAATAAGACCTAAAGATGAGTGGAAGACGGCGTTTAAAACGCCACAAGGGTTGTATGAGTGGATGGTCATGCCTTTCGGGCTATCCAATGCGCCTAGTACGTTCATGAGATTTATGCATTAGGTCTTGCGGCCTTTTATGGGGAAATTTGTTGTAGTTTACTTCGATGATATCCTCGTTTATAGTCCGACATGGACTTCACACTTCGATCACCTCCGTGCTGTTTTTGAGATGCTGAAAATGGTGTGCTTGTTTGTCAATCAATAGAAGTGTTTTTTCTGCATTACTTCTGTGACTTTTCTTGGTTTTGTTGTGTCTACTGATGGTGTTCATGCAGATCAGTCAAAGGTAGATGCAGTCTTGGACTGGCCCAGACCAAAGACCTTACATGACATCCGAAGTTTCCATGGCTTGGCGTCTTTTTACCGCCGATTCATTAGAAATTTCAGTACTATGATCGCCCCTATCACAGAGTGCCTCAAGGGGCGTGATTTCCAGTGGTCTGAGGAGGCAGAGGCCAGTTTTCAACTGGTCAAGCAGAAGATGACCGAGGCTCCAGTTTTGGCACTTGCAGATTTTGAAAAAGTGTTCGAGGTAAATTGTGATGCATATGGCGTTGGCATTGGTGGTGTTCTGAGTCAGGCAGGTCATCCGGTTGCTTTTTGCAGTGAAAAACTATCGGGATCAAAGAAAAATTATTCCACTTATGATCTGGAGTTCTATGCCATAGTTCAGTCCCTGAAGCATTGGCGTCACTACCTAGTACAGAAGGAGTTTATTCTGTTTACCGATCATGAGGCCTTGAAGTACATCAATGGACAACACAAGCTGAGTAGAAGTCATGCCAAGTGGGTGGTATACTTGCAAGAATTCACTTTTACACTGAGGCACCAAGCAGGGAGTTTGAACCGCGTCGCAGATGCCCTGAGCCGTCGTACCTTACTTCTCACCACCATGAGTACTAAAGTTGCAGGCTTTGAGACGTTCACAGATATGCATGCAGCTGATCCTTCCTTTGGAATGATATTTCAGGAGGTAACTGAGGGTCACCGTCATGATTTTGTTTTGCAAAATGGGTATCTGTTTCGTGGATTACAGTTGTGCATTCCAGATTGTTCATTGAGGCAGTAAATTATAAGTGAACTCCATAATGAGGGACACTTTGGCCGAGATAAGACCTTGGCCCTTATCTCTTCTGACTTTTATTGGCCCAAGTTGACTAGTGATGTGGCCCATTATGTGGACCGTTGTTATGTGTGCCAGCGATCTAAGGGAGTTCTCACAAATGCGGGCTTGTACACTCCCTTACCTGTTCCTGAAGCTCCTTGGTTTGATGTCAGCATGGATTTTGTACTAGGCTTACCCCACACCCAAAGGGTCTCAGATTCTATCTTTGTTGTGGTTGACAGGTTTTCCAAGATGGCTCATTTTGTAGCTTGCAGAAAGACTATGGATGCTGACCGGATTGCCCATCTTTATTTCAAGGAGATTGTGCGTTTACATGGTGTTCCTCGATCCATCACTTCAGATCGTGATACTAAGTTCATCAGTCATTTCTGGAAGAGCCTGTAGGGGAAACTGGGAACGCAGTTGAATTTCAGTAGCGCCTACCACCCCCAGACGGATGGCCAGACTGAGGTGGTGAACCGAAGTTTGGGAAACCTCTTGAGGTGTTTGGCAGGAACGAAGCCGAAGCAGTGGGATTTGGCATTGCCTCAGGCAGAATTTGCCTACAACAGATCAAAAAACAGAACCACAGGTTTAAGCCCATTTGAGATTGTCTATGGTCAGAACCCATCCGGGGTGCTGGACTTAGCCCCTATTCCACGTATAGGTCATTTCAGTCCTAAAGCAGATGAGATGGCAAAGTATCTTTGGGGTATCCATGAGCAGGTGAAACAAACCATTCATGAGAGCAATACCAAGTACAAGACTCGGGTCGACAATCATCGTCGTCAGGTACTTTTTGATGTTGGTGATTTTGTTTGGGCTGTATTAACTCGTGATCGTTTTCCTGTTGGTGAGTATAATAAGCTTAAGGATCGGAATATTGGACCTTGTGAGGTCGTGCAGAAGATCAATGATAATGCTTACAGGTTGCGCCTTCCCAGCCACTTGAAGACTTCTGATGTCTTTAATGTGAAGCACCTGAGTCATTGTTTTGTGGATTCTGATGACAGTACTCTGAACTCGAGGACGAGTTCTTTCCAACCCGGGATGACTAATGTAGGGGGATCCGAGACAGATGATGCTGAGCTGTCAGATTGCACCTTGATGGCGCTGAGATACCATGAATTGGCAGATCAGCGCAAAGGCGGGAATTGATTGTGACATGTTCCTCATTGGGGTCGTTTTGAGTATGTTTCAGTCTTTTGGCCATAACTTTGGCTACAGGTGTCAGAATCGCGCATAAGACCCCAATCCATAAAGCTCTTTTCGACGCGCACGCTCTCCAAATGAGCTACACTCCATGTGGCATTTTTTTCAACCTCAAATTCTGCCGTTTTCCCCTCCAAATCACTAGAATTAGATATTTTTTTACTATTTATGGTAATATTTCGATTGTCAATTAGGAAGTCAATTTAAATCCGATTTAGGCCGGATTTTTTGGAGATTGCTTATTTTATTTCGAATTTTAATTTAGAGTGATTTTCGGGATTTTGTTATTTTTGGCAAAATTCGAATAAAGACGATTTTTGGCTATAACAGTCCGGCTTGTGGACTGATTTTGGATTGTTTGATTTGATAATATTTTATTAAACCCTAGAGACTTTTTTTCTATGGATTTTTTTGTGCGAATTTTTTCTTGTGAATCTTCTGTTGGAGCGCTTGCAGGATAATCACTATTCTGTCTGGCGTCAAGTTTAGACGAGTCCTAATTGAATCCGTTAACAAAGACAAGTTCGACAAGGTCCCCACACCATTCTTCTTCACATTCGTGAGTTGTGCAGGAAGAATTGGTCCATCAAATTTCAGCATGTTCGACGGGATGAAAATAAGGTTGCCGACAGAATGGTTAAGTTAGTTTGCTACGACTCTTTAGATGTAATCCAATGCACGAGTCCGACACCGAGTGCTGCAGAGTTGTCGAGAATGATAGCAGTAGCTAATCTGTTGTAATTATCATCCTTTTACCCAAAAAAAAAAACTAATTGATAAATTAATAATTTTTAGTTTAAAGATATTTTTCCCCAATTCAACGAACCTACAATGAAGGAATTATTAAAGAAGATATTCATGAATTTGATACGATAATTAATGACCTTGAGTATCACAATAAAATCGATGTCAATTACTTATTGGATTACACGAGTGAAAATGATACATGTTTAGAGGTCCAAAGTTTAGAAGAAATTATAGTTAGTGTTATTGAAAATTCTATTGAGAATGAAAGTATGAAACTGAAGATGAGACAATGTCTTTGCAACCAATTACTCTTAATGAAGCACTCATAGCGGCAACATCCCTTTACAATTTGTTGTTGCAGTATGAAAATGTAACACCGGAACTTTTGGACGTAGTAAGGAAAGTTAGAGATGAGATAAAATTAGATTTAAATTTTAAGAAGCAAATAACAATATAATTATATTTTACTAAGAATAAAAAATTATTTATAGGAAAATTACGTAAGAAAGGGAAAAAATGATAAGAAATTGAGTTGTGAAGAATAAAAAACAATGTAAAGATTATTTATAGGCGTATTTTGAAGCTTTCATTACGGTTGAAAATCAAAGGGGGAGAAGACTGTTTATGGGCAAATTTATGAGATTAAATTGGAATTCGAGAAAGAAGTCGAGGGAATAAGAGAAGTCTAATTATAATAATAAACCAATATAATTAGTTTAAGTAATAACAACTTAATATTGTTTAAGTAAAGTTTTAGGTTTGAGTCACGTGTATGCAAAAAAATTTTATTGGGAGACTCTCCCATCAAAAATCAAATGTGCGATCTGATCGGATCAAATTAGTTGGGGAGAAGCCTCGGAATTAGAGGAGTACGACGACGACAATAATAATAATATGATTGGATTTAGATGAATATGAAAATTTTGAATTGAGACGAGGAATTGGATTGAGAAGTGTATTCATTTGCCCATTGGAAGAAATGTTGCCCACTTGAAAAGTTGGGTTGATGGGCTTGAGAAGAGTAGAGATGCTTTAAGAACAATACACTTTATCAACAATTTGGACAATTGTGGTCGACGGGTATAATGCAAATGGAGAATTAGAAGCTGCAAAGGAGATTTAACGTTAAATATAATTTATTTTAATAAATTAACATCAATAATTATTGTACTTTTTGAAAAATAAAAATTAGCTTAATTAATATGTATAAAATAAAAAATAGTAAGGTCATACCGAGTTTTCAAAATTCCTCGTTATAATCCTAATACAATGTCGGCCACCTATCTTCACGTTCACGTACCTTCGTAAGCACGAGTATTTCCCATAATTCACGACCACGTGTCATATTTTCATTTGTTGGATTCACTGCTCGAGATTATTTACGAAGCAGCCTTTACTCATATTCAACACGCCACGTGCATTTTCGCCACCTGTCCTTTGACCTTAGCCATATCATTACACGCGTATGAAGTCAAAGCCTCCTTCCTCGTTTCCTTATATATATATATATATATATATATGCACCACTGCCATGTCGCCTAAATGCCCCAAAACCAGAAAATCAAATATCCAAATACTAACGTCAAAAACCAAGCTTTTTGTTTCATTCTTCTTTTATTTTCCCTTAAATTCTGTTAAATGATCCAGAAATCTAACGGGTCGAGTCGCCGGATTCTGACGTACCCGGCGATACATCCTTGCGACTCCATTTCTCCGGCAACTCTTCTGAGCTCGATAATTGATCTCGGCCGGGATATTTGCACTTACAAATCCAAGTTTTTCTCCGTCAACAAGAGAAACGCGCGCGAAACTTTTCGACAAATCACGAACCTTCTTCTCTTCCTCCAGGAGATCCGAAATACGACGTTGGATCCACCTGCCAATTTCGTTCTCAGCTTTTCGGAGCTCCATCTCACTTTCCAGAAGCTTCGGTTCCTTCTGGAAGATTGCACTCGAGATGGGGCTCGAGCATGGATCCTGGTGAACTCCGACCGAGTTGCGAACCGGTTTCAGATACTGATCCGGGCCATGGCGACGGGTCTGGATGTTTTCCCGCTTTCATACGTTGATGTGTCGAGTGAAGCCAAAGAATTAGTTGAGTTGATCGTCAGGCAAGCTAGGAAAGCAACTTTTGAATCCGACCCGGAAGATAAGAAGGCGGTAAAGGATCTTATGCGGATCCTGAACCAATTCGAGGAAGGGACCCAACCCGATCCGGTCGAAATCAAACGGATCTTTGATCAACTCGGGATTCATAAATGGAGCGACTGCAATAAGGAAGTGAAATTCTTAGATACAGAAATCGAAATCGAATTTTCCGATCGAGAATCCGGCGGAGAATCGGAGCTTCTGAGTAGCTTAATGGGATTCATGAGCTATTGCAGATGCGTAATCTTTGATTTCATCGATACCGAAACTCAGCATCTCAACGGCTCATGTAATTGCAACGAAACTCTTAAAGGAATCAACGGCGATGATCTCAAGTGTCCGATCTCGTTAGAATTGATGTCCGATCCGGTGACATTATCGACGGGGCATACCTACGATCGTCGTTCCATTCTAAAATGGTTAAATTCAGGACACGCCACGTGTCCCAAGACCGGCAAGAAGCTTACCAGTACGAAAATGGTTCCCAATCTCGTATTAAAATCGATGATCCAACAATTTTGTGCCGGGAACGGCGTCTCGGTCGTCTCGAGCCGAAAGAATCGCGATATCACGAGGACAATCAAGGCCGGAAGTTTGGCCGGAGAAGAAGCAGTGAAGATGTTAGCTGGAATTCTCGTTAACAAACTCGTTAACGGCAACAGTGGAGAGATGAACAAGGCGGCTTTTGAGATTAGGGTTCTTACGAAAACGAGCATTTTTAACAGGTCTTGTTTGGTCGAATCCGGTTCGATCCCTCCATTACTGAAGCTTTTATTCTCTAAAGACGATAACACCCAAGAAAACTCCATGGCCGCCCTTCTGAATCTCTCCAAGCACACGAAAAGCAAAGGTGTCATAATGGCGAACCAAGGGTTGGATTCGATCGTCCATGTTTTAAGAAAAGGTCTCAAAATCGAAGCTCAACAACACGCGGCTGCCACCTTGTTTTATCTCGCCTCAATCGAGGAAAACAGGGTTTTGATCGGTGAAAATCCTGAAGCAATTCCAGGTTTGATAGAGTTGATTAAGAAGGGAAATAATCATTGCAAAAGAAACGCTTTAGTTGCAATTTTCGGTCTCCTAACACATTCCGGGAACCACTGGAGAGTTCTAGCAGCCGGAGCTGTTCCTTTACTGCTAAATCTTTTGAAAGACACCGAAAGAGGAGATCTCGTAATCGATTCCCTAGCGGTTTTATCAACTCTATCGGAGAGAATCGATGGGGCGGTGGCGATTCTATGCCGTGGAGCGCTGCCGTTGTTGGTGGCGATTTTAAGTACCTCTGCTTCAAGAACAGGGAAGGAGTACTGCGTTTCCTTGTTGCTGGCTCTGTGTGTGAACGGCGGCGGTGATGTGGTTGCTCATCTGGTGAAGAATCCTTCTCTAATGCGATCCTTGTATTCCCAACTCAGTGAAGGCACAACTCGAGGCAGCAAAAAGGCGAGTTCAATCATCAGGATTCTTCATGATTTCCATGAAAATAACTCATCAGCTCCGGTGAGTTCTCTGGTTCTATCACGAGAAAGATTCGTTCACGTCTCGTAATTGGGTAACCCAAATTTTATCTGGTACCCATTTATTCGTTCTTATTTGTTTGTTCATCCCTGCAATCTTTCCATGTAAGTATATACCTGAAACAGTGTAAATTGCTTGCTTTCTTTGTTAGCTCGGTTATATACAGAGCTAATCCACTCGGCTTCTGCCTTTTTTCCACATGAAGCTGAGTTAGAAAATTAAAGTATTGTTTTGCTTACAGTTTTTTTTAAGGTTGAAATCGCTACATCTCGACTGTGATCCATTGGCAAAAATACAATATTATATTTGTGAATAAAATTATTGCATGTTGAAAAATTAGGTTAAGTAACCCAAGAAATAAATGAACAGTAAAGAAAACAACAAATATAAGATTTAATGAGATTCGATAAAGTGTTTAAAACTATCCCCAGTACAATTATCAAAATAACCCCATACTGTATATTATCATTATAAGAAATAATATAACAATCGAAATTTCAAACCATTATCATTCCTAAGCCGATAAGCTATAATCTAATACATTTAAAACTAAGTTATTACAAAATATTGACATTATTTAAACGATTATTGTTATCGATAACAATCAAAGTAGTACGAGAAATAATATTCCAATCAAAACATGTTTAAAATAAGGGTAAACTATATAAATAAATGACAATATAACTAATTGTTGGGTCGAGAAATTACTATCATTTTTAAATTTGTGTTAGCATGACCACTTACCTATTTAAATGGTCAACGATCAACGATTCGGGTTAGATTGGATCGGATCGAATCGAACAGGCGGGTCGGGTCATACAGACAGATTGGGTCGCTTCTAGAAGCCCACCAGACAGTGAACCTTCCCCACACACCGAATATATTTATAATATCCAATAAATATATTTAGGCACGTTATGGGCTTAAAGAGATTACCTAAATTCAACATATTATTGGATATATTTATCATGACTTTGGAATCATTGACCAAAAGAGATTACTATAACGTACCTTGAATATATTTAAGCTAATGTTGATTAGGGCTTTGGTTGCCTCTTAACTGAATTTAAAGTATTTAATCCAAAATATATATTTATAATATAATCATGTAATCACCATTTCGTTTCATTATTATTATTATTATTATTATTATTATTATTATTATTATTATTATTATGACGAGGACGACAATTAACAAACTCAAATAAAAAATATTATTAATTAAAATTTTAAATACCCATTTTACAAAGCCCAAACTGGTGGAAGCCTAACAGCAAGAAACCCTAGCCCAGTTGACCCAACACCTAAACATGTTATGGTTTTCTCAAACCATACTTATTCGAATTTGGATCATTTTAAGAAAATATTCATTCTCTTTTACTACCGGAATCATTAAGTAGATTCAACTCTTCACCGTATCTTATGATAGAAAAGGGTATATGAACTTTGTTGATGTAGGATGCTTTAAATAGCTCCCGAGCTGCCGAATTAAAAGGCATGGAGCCGTGAAGGGGACTTGATCGGCTTGGTGGTCCATGTCTTTCTTTTTATTGATATGACGTAAGTACAAAGTAATATATGTTCTAAGATAACTCTTAACCATTTAACATTAAATGTTCATATTCCTGACATTCATGGTGCTCGAACCCAAAATCGGTGGTCCATGTATGATGGCACAGTTTGGGTTCCCATTAGCTTTTCCTGCTGGTTCAGGCCCGCGTCCTAAGCTGACGAGAATAAAGAGGGACATGTACCTAGGTTCATTTCAAATGTGGCAAGCCATTAAATTCCACCAAAAACTCCCCTTTTCCCTCTGCAGAAAAATGCAAACCATTAATGCAATGAGGCTGAACCATATGTTTCCCATTCATTCACATGTATTTTATAAGATTATCAATATCCGATAGCTATGTTAAACCTCGAATATTTCAAAGTGGGATCGATATTTTTCTTGGCCACTGTCCCTAGAGAAGCCTTTCATTTTCGTGCAACCCATAGGTATAACAAGATAAGAACAACGGCTAAATCTGCATTCAAATTATTAAAGCATGATGGTGACCCTAGGGTTATTGAACGTTAATCACCAGCTTTGTGTAGTGGTTAAACCCGATCGTTATAGTTTGAAGAAAACAAAATTAAATGTTGTTCTATAAAGTGTCATGAGACTATTTCAACTAGTGATTTCCAGTTCTAATAAGGAGGTTACCCTGTGAGGCGTCTAAAATAAGGCTTATAAACGGTATAATCGATAAAAAACGTTATAGGTTAAAAGCGATACCTAAAATATTATAAGTTGGAACCTAAAAAATTATCAGTTGGAGTAACATAATAGATTGCAACTAAAATGTTATACGAGATAAGAAAATGAGTTATTGACTGCAAATGTTATGAAAACATTTTAGGTTGCATCTAAAATGTTAACCGAATTTAAGTCGATGAGGCATTGGATTTTCACACGATAAGAAAATAAGTTTAAAAACTCAAAATATTATATGAATATATATAAGAAATATGATTAAGCCTGAGCGAAATCCATTTTATTAATAAAAATAGTAACATTCCAGATCGTAACCTATTTCTTAGTGAACTATGACATTCTTGGGTGCTACCGTATTTCTTATATATAAGTATAATATTTTTAGCTTTTAACTTATTTTCTTATCGTGGGAAAATCTATGGCTCCATCAGCTTAAACTCTGATAACATTTTAGGCACAACCCATTTTATTAATAAAAATATTCAGATTTCATATCACAACCTATTTCTTAGTCAACCATGACATTTTCGGGTGCAACCCATTTTATTAGTAAAAAATATTAACATTCCAGATCGCAACCTATTTCTGAGTGAACCATGATATTCTTGGGCGCAACCTATTTTATTAATAAAAATATTAATATTTCATATCGCAACCTATTTCTTAGTGAACCATGACATTTTTATGCGCAACCGTATTTCTTATATATATTCATGACATTTTTTGCTTTTAAACTTATTTTCTTACCGTAGGAAAATCTAAGGCTCCATCAGCTTAAACTCTAGTAACAATTTAGGCGCAACCTAAAATGTTAATAGTATTCATAACATTTGCAATTTATAACTCATTTTCTTACCATGTATAAAAGTTTAGTGCAACCTGCTATGTTACTACATTGATAAACTTTCTCGGTTCCACTTTATAACATGTTGTGTTCCGCTTTTAGCCTGTAAGATAGGTTTCCCGGTTACACCATTTTAAGTTATTTTAAAATAGTTACAATCCAATATATTGCATATAGGTTAACATTTATGGTGTCGCTAAACCTATTTTGTTAAGTTCCTTTTCAAATTTTCGATTGCGCCATTTTTTAACCTTATATTAATGTGTCGTAGCTTATAATTCTCCTATCTAATATATTATAGTATGTGTGAAGATATGGAGTGACTACTTGATTGAATTGAATCAAATCAAAATATTTTGAGTTAATTTGGTTGACAAATCTAATTCAAATTTTATTTGATTTTTTAGTCGAGTCTTTGTTCAAATCTAATTATAATTTATTTATGATATTATGGTACAAATTGATTTAAATTTAAATAAGTTTCCCTAGCCAGATAATATATATATATATTCTTCATATACTTTTTCATATGTGTAAGTGTTATTTGTAATGTTAGTTAATAAATCAAATATTATCTAAAATTATGAGATGTATTTATTATATTATATTTTAAAAGAATGAATTTTAATGATAAAGCATTATGAAAGTATAAAGGAGTCATGAAATTAATAGGAAGAAACAATTTGTAAATAATAATAGTTAGAGGACCAAATAGAATAAAATATAAAGTTAAGAGATTAAATTAAAAAAAGAAATTTTTTAAAATTATAAATTCAAGTTACATAGATATTATATAATTTTATAGGAGCGTGTTTTTAAAATTTGGTTAAAGTAGACTTAAAACGAATAAGAAATTGAAGAAACGTGAAAATATGTAAAATCAAAAGATTAAATTAAAAAAAGAGGAAATTTATTTTCAGAATGATAATTTGAAACTAAATAGCTCTTCTATACTGGTTTAGGAGATTTTTGTTCAAATTTGATCAAGATAGAGGAATTGAATATCAAAATAATGTCGTTTTAAAATTAAATTTTTTAAATTGATAAAATTTGAACTCGACTTAAACTTGAAAATTGACCCACTAATTCGCGTTGACTCAAATAACTCATAATTAAAAACATCAAGTTTTTCAAATTGAATGAATGTTGGCCATTCCTATGTGAGAATGTAGGATCAAACATGATTAAGTGTTCAATATCTTTTTTTATAGAAGCCACTAATTTTTTTTTTTTATCAAACTACTATTGACACAAGAAACTAGCCGCTTAAGATTATATGAGGAACATCCACGGAAAAGTTAAAAATTTAACCAAACAACTTAAACAAAAGATAAATATGAATAAATCTGACTGTATCGACAACCACAAAATGAGATAAACTATTAAATGATCACCAACATACCGCAAATCAGTCCACAAATGCAAATCACATATCCAAATCCAATATGAGGTTTTATAAAACAAGAAAGATCGACATGATAACAAATAAGTGTCACCTTGATCAACCGAGATAATGTTAATATAACCTTGAGAAAAAGATAAATAAAAACAATGATCGAAAGATCGAAAACATCTCAAAAGATAGAGAAAAACGTGTCATTAAAGCGGAGAATATGTGACATAAAGACAATTATTAAAAACTAAAAATTCAAAGAAAAAACAAAAATATAATATAAGAAAATAATGAGAAAACAAGAAATACTAACGAAAACTACCAATACTAATGTAACACCCTAAACTCGATTGGGCCTAAAGTGTCACAGACAACCCCTGTTTTTCAAATCATGTTCATTTTCATTTTAAAACATACTATGGTATCAATAATAAACATAAATAATAGTTATAAAATATTTTATAAACTGGAGCTCCGTGATATATAGTTTAAAACAAAAATAATACAAACTCAGAGTTATAAATTTGAATACATGAGTAAAGTTGTACGAATACATATGTCCATGAAAGATACAATATATTACTCTGAAGGAGATGCTGGAAGTCCTATTACGACGATGCTCCACGAACTACTCAAGCTACTGACCTACCAATAGAAAACATCTAAAGGTTGAGATTACAAAGCCCACAAGTATTATCGCTATTCTAGAGCAGCATTATGAGTTCCATAAACATAAGCATGCTAAAGAAATGG